CAGGTACTCATAGTCCTTTGAGGGGACGAAGTACTTTCTCTCCACCCCTCTGGCTGTGGGTGGAATAGAGGCAGGAGTTTGCCATATCGTAGAAGCGTTAGCCTGGATCGTGCGGATCAGGGGCAACGCCACTCTGGATGGGGCATCCGCCGAGAGGATATTTACAATGGGGTCCTGCACCTCCACTATTTCCTCCGCCTGTAGTTCCATATTACGGGCCACCCTACGTAAGAGGTCCTGATGAGCCCGAAGATCTATCGGGGGTGGACCTGTGCACGACGTGCCCGCCACTGCCTCATCTGGAGAGGAAGATGCCTCGGGTGGTAAGGGATCCAAGGGAGGGTCCTGGTCTCCCTGTTCCTGGGACGGAGCATCACCTGCCCCTGGGTCCAGGACGTCAGGTGGTGCGGGCACGGAAGCCTCCATGCCCCCTGGAGGAGGGCGAGAGATGGTGGACTCTGGGGCCCTTCTGTCAGAGTGTCCCGAGCGAGAGGCTGAAGTTAGTGGAGCCCCTTGCGCTTGGTGGTACGCCCACGGGGTCCAGAATGACCAGTGAGAGGGGCCGTGAGCAGGGTCCTCTGCTAACTCCTGCCAGTGGCCCATATCTTGTTCCTCGGCTTGCCCCTGAGGGGGGTATGCTGATCTCGATGCATCCTCAGAGGAGCGAGACACCGATCTCGATGGCCATGGCGGTGCCGACTGCGCCGAGATGATCCCCGTGGGATACGGTGCCGCACGGTGCCGGTCTGGAGATGCTCTATCTCTGTGCGGTGCCGGCGATCGGTGCCGAGATGGCGATCGGTGCCGATGACCGCGCCGGTGCCGGGAGTCGGACCTGGACCTGGACAGCGACCTCGAGTAGGCCCGGTGCCGGGAGCGACCCCTCGACGTTGATCGTCGATCGTAACGGTGCCGAGAACTATGTCTCGATGTTGACCGGTACCGACGATCATAGCGGTGCCGGGACGTAGAACGGTGCCGCGACGATGATCTTAGCCGCGAGTACGACCGGTGCCGAGGTGATATCCGGCGCCGGGACTGCGAGCGGCGTGGGGACCTGCTTCGGGACCTGGAACGGTGCCGTGGTTCCAGTCCCTGCGATGGAGGGCGCATCAAGGCAGGCTTCCCCCTGGACTGGCCTGTACGAGTCAACGCTGCCCCTGGTGCCGGTGGTTGGGGCGGTGCCGGCTTCGTGAGAGCGATCAAGTCTCTCGCCGTCGCGAAGGTCTCTGGGGTCGACGGGAGGCA